GACTGAAATACATTAGAGAACCCCAAGGCTGGCAAGCCTCTGTGGAAGGCGGTGCTCCAGACCATCACGTTTTCCACTATCACTCCTCAGTCTGTAATTATATATTTAGTCCACTTTAAAATAACAGTAATGGGGCATCTGGGTGGCTCAGTGGGTTAAGCCTCGGCCTTCAGCTCAGGTCATGATTCAGGGTCCTGGGACTGAGCCCCGCACTGGGCTCTCCACTCAGCGGGGAACCTGCTTCCCAACCCTCTCTCTCTGCCTGCCTCTCTGCCTACTTTTGATCTCTGTCTGTCAAATAAATAAATAAAAATCTTAAAAAAAATAACAGTAACCTTGGCTGGCTCAGTCGGAAGAACTAAGTGCTTTATATGAATTATCTTGTTTAACCTTCATAACCAGCCCATGAAGTACATGCCATTATGATTACCACTTTACAGACAATAAAACTCTGGACAGAGGTTACATGGCAGTGCCAAGAAGTAGTAAGCCCACATTTGTAACTTCTATGCTACACTGATCTCTTAATGTCTTCCCCCTGCCCACACTGAACTCCACCACAGGATTGAGGGTCAAGAGGACATCATTCAACAAAATATCTCAGCCCCTATCACAGCGCCTGGCAGAAAACAGGTGCTTCCTAAGTATATACTGGATGAATAAAAACATTCAAAGTAATACTGCAGGATTTCTCTTTGTGTATCTCTGACCCACCTCATCTTCCCCACAATTTCCAGCATAAGACTCAGCCCCCAGAAGGTACTCTACATATCCAGAAACGCTCAGAGTTAAACAGTGCTCTTGTGACCACCCAACTCTGTTCCCTCTATTAACCTTTCCAGGTTTTTTCTCCTACCTCTGAGTTTAGACAATGAAGCAAGATGGACTACGGAGAATATATGAACTCTGAAGGTCCTCAAAGACTGAGTTCTAGAAGAAGAGGTGAGTAGCAGATGCCTTGCTCAACTGGGATTCCGGGAAGAAAGCCCAGGGTGTGGTGGAGGGTCTGCATCTGCCCTTCCTTGAGGAACATGACCCTCTCTTCCCAGTATCCTGTGCCTTCTGGGAACTGTCCAACACCTGAAACATCTTCTTTGGAAATCGTGTCACTGCAGGACACACAGAGGCAAAACAACAACAACAAAACAGCACCAAAGGCCTCTGGTATCACCCTCAGAAACAGAGAAGGACTTTCTGTAGAGGATAATGGGGTTTCTGGTCACTCCTCCTGCTTCTGGTTATCCCCAGCCCCTGAAAAGTCTTGACTATCTCCAGCATATAGGGTCCCCCCAAAATCCAAACTCTACGCCAAGAAACTTCTAGGAAAATAACACAGACAGCCACAGGAGCTGTAATTGGTGGAGGGGACAACATTCTAGCCTACCATGATCACCATGGGGGCTCTAAGATGGGATGCTACTGGGCCTGGGCCTTGAAGGGTGGGAATCACTGGGCTTCGTGGGGAAGAGATGGATACAGAAGGAATGGCACGTGCACTGTAGTGAAAGCAAGAGCTAACATTTATCTAGCACATATTCTGTGTTTATTGCTGGGCTAAGTGTTTAAAAGCTTGCTGACATCTCATAACCTTATGAAATGGGTGATGATACTATACCAGATGAAGAACCCAAGGCCCAAAAGTGTTGACTAGCTCGTCTAAGGTAACCCGGTAATTGGCAGGGCTGGGATTCAAACTCAGATTTTTCCAACCCCAGGGTCCACCACACTATGGGCACCAAGAGTTGAGGGGGATGGCTTGTGTGAGGGAAAGGAGTATGTGTGGAAGAGCAAGGGAATCCTTGAATGTGACCCAAAAGGTCTAGATGGGGTGCCACAAGGCAGGCCATGTGCTGAGCAGGGCTGCAGGAGGAATGGCCTTACACATTTATGGAGGATAATGATGGAGGGGTTGCTGGAAAGATGGGAACCCCAAAAGCTCTACAGGAAGAGGAAGGACAGGCTGCAGCATGAGTGAGGAAAACCTAGAAAAGAAACAAGTTTACCAAATGCCAGTTGGTCATCAACTGTGTTCACCTTCAGATTTAAGCAAAGAAAGATCTCCAGTCCCAGTCAGTCCACAAAACTCATATTAAATGCCAACTGTGTGCCAGGCCCTGCCCTAGGCAGCCTTCCTCTGTTTCTCCTCCTTTTCCCAGTGACAAAAGTCAGATTGCTGGCAGGCTCCTACAACCCGGTACCCTAACGTGCTCTCCTCTCCTTCCCATTTCCACTCTTATAAGGCAGACAAATAGCTTTTCTCAGATGTTTATGTTAAAATCCAGAATTATTGCATTTTAATTTCAGTAAGTTTTAAAATTTTAAAGTATCTATTTTCCCTTTACTGGTTCAGTTTACAAGATAAACAGCTGATTTTTAAAAATTGAATCCTTGGGGCACCTGGGCGGCTCAGTGGGTTAAAGCCTCTGCCTTCAGCTCAGGTCCTGGGATCAAGCCCCACATCCGGCTCTCTGCTCAGCAGGGAGCCTACTCCCTCCTCTCTCTCTGCCTGCCTCTCTGCCTACTTGTGAGCTCTGTTTGTCAAATAAATAAACAAAATATTTTTAAAAAAATAAATAAATAGGGGCACCTGGGTGGCTCAGTGGGTTAAAGCCTCTGCCTTCAGCTCAGGTCATGATTCCAGGGTCCTGGGATCGAGCCCCACATCAGGCTCTCTGCTCAGCAGGGAGCCTTCTTCCCCCTCTCTCTCTCTGCCTGCCTCTCTGCCTAGTTGTGATCTCTGTCTGTCAAATAAATAAATAAATAAATAATCTTTAAAAATAAATAAATAAAAATTAAATCCTCTTTTATTTTTTAAAAAAGATTTTAATTATTTATTTGCCAGAGAGAGAGAGAGAGAGAGAGCGAGCACAGGCAGGCTGAGTGGCAGCAGAGGCAGAGGGAGAAGCAAGCTCCCCGCCGAGCAAGGAGCCCGATGTGGGACTCGATCCCAGGACGCTGGGATCATGACCTGAGCCAAAGGCAGCTGCTTAACCAACTGAGCCACCCAGGCGTCCCTTGAATCCTCTTTTAACCTCAATCAGTTTTTGATGAGAAAATTTTCTCCAGAGGGCAAGTCGTCTTTCCCTCCAGCTGCCAACCATGGAGCCAGCAGTACCTCTGCTCAAGGGTATCTCTTGAGGGTCAGAAATGGGAACTTACATCCCAACCACAATGCCCTTCACTATTACCAGGGGAAATGGGGGCTAGCGACATCTCTAATTCAGTAAATCTGTTGCAGGTCTGCCTTAGGGAGTCAATCCCACTTTGGAGCTGAAGAAAGAGGAACTTAGCTTCTCATCATTCTTGTGCTTCCAAAAAAAAAAAAAAAAAAATCCTGTTCCAACAGGCAACCTTCTCGCTGAGAAGGTGGGATTTATTAGCCAAATACAAGTGTAGGAACTTCCAAACTTGGAGGGCCACCTCTTGCTCTCCAAATTACTGCCTTCAGGAGACTCTGCTCAGCCAGGGGTTCGGCGATGGGAGCAAACTCTCACTAGGTTAGCTCAGCAATTCCCCAGGAAGGCTCACCACGCCGGCCAAGGATAAGACACAGTGATCCCAAAAGCCTTGGTTATGTTAGGTGGGAAGCGGGGGCTTTTCCGCTTAGCTTCTCTAAGCGTTGCCACGGGGCCTTTCTTGGACTACGTCAGGGTGAAGAGTCTTGTATGGGCACTTCTCGCACCACCGATCAACAACTCTCGAGAAACCCTCTTTTTCAAACTACACGGCAGGCTTAAGGGGGAAGCGAAGGCCTCAGCAGACGCCAACCACCGCGGTTCCCAAAGCCTTGGTTACGTCTGGGCCCGTGCGGAGCCGCATCTGGAGGGAGATTCCCTTCCTGGGCGCCCGCCATCGGCCGCTGGATTCCCAGCAAGGCCTCTTAGGCCCTTCGAGAACCCCCGCCTCCGGCTTCCCCGCCCAGATCTCGGAACCCTCAGGCCCGGGCCAGTCTCCTTGCCAGCCTTTCAAGGCCCAAGCTCCCGGCCCCGCAGCTCACCCTCCAGCGTCTCGCACTGCACCAGATTGAGGTAGTCCGCCTGGCTGAGCACTCCGGCCTTCAGGCCGCGCACCAGTCCCTCCAAGTAGCCATTGTCCACGTTGAAATAAAGCTCCGGGAAGAACGACATGGCTGCGGCGGGGGAGGCGAGATCGGAGAACCCCGATCGCCGGGTGGACAGCTTGATTCCAAGATCAGCTGACTCTGCGCCAGCAGCGGGCTGTCAAGCGGGTCAGGTGACGCGCGACCGCCTCACGTGACCACAAAGGGGTGGGGCTGTGAGTAGCGCCCGGCTTCCGGGTGGTTTCGTCCGAAAGCATTGCGCAGGTGTGGGCCCTCTGGCGCCTGCGCGGCTGGGTAGGCGTGCGTCTCGCTACCGGCCTTAACCAGCGTGGAGTGTCTGAGGCCGGCCGCGTGGTGGCGCACGTGGCCGCGCGGATTCGATTGGGCCCTCTAGCTTTACACCACCGTCTGGGGTAGCCGACCCTGAGGCGCAGGCCGAGTAAAGTTGGGAATAAGCGGTGCTTCTTATGCTTGGAAATGTTCCAGACTGCTGAGGCAGTCTTCCCTCGAAGGGAACTACGGATCGAGGGGCAGGCTTCGCTGAGGTCACAGGTCAAGTTAGCCGCAAGCAGGCCCTGGAGCCTAACGCTTGCTGGCCTGCCAGGAGTTCCAGGCCGTGTATGCACTGCGCGCTGCACCCGCATGTCTTGTACGAGATTCTGGAGGGCTGGAGTCCGGCCTTTCTGCCTCCCCACCGGCGCCTGGCACCGTAAGACCATGCATGTAAGTGATTCAGATGATGGGTAGCCTAGACCCTGGGTAGGTGTGTGTGTGTGTGTGTGTGTGTGAGATTTCTTGGCTTGGTGGCAACCCCATCCCTACTGTGACCTCCATGACCTCCCACCTTTGACGGCCACGTTTGAAATAATGCCACAGCCTTGGGGTTGGTCCCAGCCTTTATTCACTAGCCCATGTAGACCCCGACCCGGACGTTGGCCCACTAGGTACGGCTGCAGGGGTTCATGGCAGTACCCAGCTTCCGGCAGTAGCAGAAGGCGTTGAAGAAACGGCAGTAGCACGTGGCACATGGGTCGCAACATGGTACCTGGTGTCCCAGACAGGATTCATGCAACCTTACGCAGCGACGTGGGGAGCGTGGCTCTCGGCCCTCTGGATCTAGTACCTACAGGAGTGAGGGAGCAGGATTGCCCGCATGGGCCTTTGAAGGCAGGTCCAGGGATGTCACCTGCCTCAATCCGAACAGGATGGCAGTGGAGTATGGAGACAGTAGTCTGCAGCATCACCCCAGGTGAGGGGTCATGTGGTGGAGAGAGGGGATGACACCTGATGTCCCCTCCCAAGGCCTGTGGCCATCCCCCCTTCTCCTGGGCGGTTACCTCTGCCAAGGCCTCAGCCTCCTGCAGCAGAGCCTCTCCTGACTGTTCTGCAGCTGTCCTTTTCAGCGAGGACTGCAGGCCCAGGCCTGGAACAGGTGATGTGAGGGCAGAACCCCCTCCCTCCCCATGCATTAAATGCCCACCTCCAAGGTCTGGGATTGGGAAGGGGCAAGGAGGGCTCATACCAAGCAGGATACTTTGTGGCCAGAGGGTATCCAGGCTCCACCCAGCTTCACCCCTGCCCATACTGACCTGGGAGCTCTGGGAACAGGGCCTGGTCAGGACTTCTGATGCCTTCCAGCGGGGGCAGGCCCATGTCGGCCCCCTGCATGGGGGGCAGTGCCAGCAGCAGGGCACAGCTCAGCAGCACTGCAGGCAGCATGACCTGGCCAGCAGTAAGACCCACCCCTTAGTCCTTCCTCATCCTTGCACCCTCCAGGTGCCCAGCCCCAGAGACTTCCCAGAAAACAGGGGTCTCTGCCCAACCTGAGGACTTACCTCTGCTTGCTGGATCCTTGCCTGGAGAGTTTCTGGCCACTCCGTGCCCTCAGCTTATATGGCAGGGTCTGATGAACGCCCCACACGTGACTGCTGCCTGCAGCCAAGACATAAGGGGCCCTCGCCAGAGGGTGGGGGCCCAGCTCAGGCCTCTCGCCCTGCAACCTGGGTTTTTGGATGCTCTATAAGAGGTGTGCCCAACTCCGATTTGGGGTGAGGTCCCCAGGTGCCAATCAAAGTTTGGGAGCAAGGTAGGGTGCCCAGAACCCCCAAATTTCTACAGGACAGGGACCTGGGTAGGGGCGGGGAGGTGGTACAGGCCAGAGCCATTAGCAATAACAAGGCAGGCAGCCCTGAGATCTTAATTTAATTTGTGGCCCCGGAGATGCTCACTCAGACCCTGTGTGGCATGTTGTTTCCTTTGCTTCCAGGAACTTTAGTCAGGGGCACTGAAGAGGGTGATGGGCCAATGGCCAGAGTGGGGTGCAGACCTAGACCCTGGGGTTTTTTTGGAGGGAAAGGGGAGGGGAGAAGTCCACTTAGCCAAAACCAAGCCCTCCTGCCTCCATCCCTAGTCCTTCCTCCCCTCCCCTTTGTCCCTCCAGACTTCTCTAAGACCCCCACCCCTGCTCCTTCTCCCAAACCCTTTTCCGCCTGGGCTTCCTGGAAGCCAAGGAGGCAGGACGGACTGTTCCCTGGGTGGGCGAGCAGCTTCAAAGTAAAAAGCTTTCAGGCTGCCTGTCTCATTAGTGCTAATGGCTGTTCCCATCCGCACTGTGTTGTCAGGCCTGTGCCCACGCCTGGTCTCATCAGCAGGAGGCCAGGGTGAAGACTGCCCTTTTGTGAAGGTGGGAGGACACACAGGACTCCACCTGCCCCTGCCTGCCCTCTCCCTTCTCGGGGGCTAACACACACTTGCCCATCAGGAAAAGGGGTACAGGCTGAATTACCTTCAAGGCCTCAGTGTACAAACTGAGCTGGCCTGAGACAATAGAAGTTTGAAGAGGCTGTTGGGGTTTTTGGTCTAGGTTCACACAGGCTATTCTTTTTTTTTTTTTTAAAGATTTTATTTATTTATTTGACAGATAGAGATCACAAGTAGACAGAGAGGCAGGCAGAGAGAGAGAGAGGAGGAGGCAGGTTCCCTGCTGAGCAGAGAGCCCGATGTGGGGCTCAATCCCAGGACACTGGGACCATGACCTGAGCCGAAGGCAGAGGCTTTAACCCACTGAGCCACCCAGGCGCCCCCACACAGGCTATTCTGCCCAGGATGAGGAAGTCCTCCCAGCAACGGGTGGAAACTGTATGTTGTCGTCTGACAGCCTTTAGCCTTCAGTACCAACAGTCAGTCTTGGGGTTCAGTTGCATGGGGAGGGGCTGCTCTGCAGAGGGTGGGGCTGTGGCAGCTGCTTTCACAGATGGGCTCTGATGTCTGTTCTGGTAGCAGGCTAGCACTGGGCTCACTTGTGGCTGGCACAGGGTCACAGTCCTATGAACTCCCAGGATCACATACTACTTCCCTGAGGAGATGGCTCCAGGATAATCCAGCAAAGGGCTATCCCCATTTCTCCCCCGACAATGCTTCTGGCTATTTTGGTGACAAATAGCCGCAAAGTAGACCTGTTGTCAGGGCCTCCCTGGCAACTGACATTGACCCTTCTTTTCCAGAGGCTAGAGCTGGGCCCTGTTGTCCACCCCAGGGCTTTCTCTTCTCAGAGTGGTGCAGGGTGAAAGTATCAGGCACTAGATATCCTTCCATCTTGGTGGGGCCAGTTGGGGTTCAAGTGTACCTGAGACACTTTCCCCCAATCCCTGGCCCCCGGCCCCATCCTTGGAGATTCTGGCTGAGGAGTTGGAGGTGGGGAACAGGGAGTGCATGTGGGTTTTGGAAAAGCACCTCAGGTAATTTGAGGTGGAGAATGTGAGCACTTGGCTGGGCCTGGTCCGCATCCATGCTAAGAACAGTTGTCCATGTTCGGGGGCCGTGCTGGTGCCATCCCACCCTGGCACTCAGTGTCCGCTCATCCGCAGAGCAGTGCCTGTCTTCCCCTGTGTGTGTGCAGGTGAGGACCTGGGCAGTGATGGGCAAGGGCTGAAGCTCTCCCAGGGGCAGCCCCGGTCCCTCGTCAGGTCCGATGGGTGAGACATTCAAGAAAACCAACTATTAACACAGGAGGATAATGAGAGAAATATAAACATTGGATAGTTGATGGCATCAAGGACTACTTGTTCATTTTTAAAGTTGTGATAATGGTATTGTGGTTTCAAGTGGCTTATTTTTAGAGAAATATAATGAAGTATTTGCTGATAAAATGATATGAAATAATCCAAGGGAGAAGGAGTAGCAGGACATGATATGGATGAAATAAAACTGTTCATGAGTTGGTAATTTGTTGAAATTGGGTGATGAGTACGTGGGCTCCATTATCCCATGACTGCTCTCCTTGTTTGTGTTTGAAAATCTTCATAATAAAAGTTAAAAACAAAGAGAATTATTTAAAATGCAATGGGATAAGGGGCGCCTGGGTGGCTCCGTGGGTTAAAGTCTCTGCCTTCGGCTCAGGTCATGATCCCAGGGTCCTGGGATCGAGCCCCACATCGGGCTCTCTGCTCAGCAGGGAGCCTGCTTCCTCCTCTCCCTCTCTCTGCCTGCCTCTCTGCCTACTTGTGATCTCTGTCTGTCAAATAAATAAATAAAATCTTAAAAAATAAATAAATAAAAATAAAATGCAATGGGATAAATGCTTTGATAGAAGAGTGCCCCAGGAGCGTTTAAGACTAGGAGAGGCACCTACCCCTGCTAAGGGAGGAGCCGGAAGTTGGCTGAGAAGGCTTTCTGGGAGAGGAAGCTTTTACTCATTCATGAAGCTTGAGTAAGAGTCAAGGGTGGCGCCAGACAAGGGACAATGTAAGTTTCCTGGACCCATAGTTGGCACATGGCTTACCAAGCTGCCTAATTCTACAGCTTAACACTAGTACAGGTTCTGCTCCAAGCCTGGTTCCTGCCCAACGAGCCCCAGCCTGGTGAGCAGTCAATAGACGCTTTTCTCCCCGCTCCTCTCCCCGCCCGTGGTTAGAGAGTTGGCTACCTCCAGAGTTGATTCAGTCAGTGAGTCAGTCAGCAAACATCATAGCCACCTCCACACTGTATCACTGCAGCGAGAGTGCACCGGCCCAGACCATAGCCACAGGAGCCCAGTAGCTCTCATGCCACCCAGCAGTTCGGAGGAGGAAATCAACATTTGTTTATGTCCTTTCCCACCCACCTTCCTTCTGCCCTTCAGCACAATGTTGACTAGGACCCCTCCTACCACCACCGAATTAGCCCAAAACATTGCCCATGGGTTTCTGGTCATATCTATATCTATATCCATATCTATATTTGTACCTCTGTCTAAAGTGAAATTTCCGTTGGCTTATCAAATTTTATTTGTTTTTGCAAATAACCAATCTTTGGCTTGATTTATCAGATTTTGTTACAATTAAGTTTCTGCTTTCCTCCTCTTTTCTATTTCCCTTGGGTTTGTTGATCCTTACATTGATCTTTCCTCCTGATGAACACAGTTGCCTACATCTAGTAGTCTATAGAAGGCCCGCTGGGAGCCCGTTTTGTCTGTTAATGAGTTTAAATACTGTGGGGGTGATTTTATTGGTCAGAAACTGATGTTCCCAGGATCACGCTTGTTGACAAAAAGACCTTCGGAAATGTTCTGGGTGGTGGATTTGGGAGAACTGGGGGGGAGCCAGAGCCTACTTGGTGAGGCTGGGGAGGGATCCTAATTTTGGAGAGAGGAAGAGGAGAATGTGGTTGTCTTGTGCCGGAGATCCAAGAATGAGGAGGAGGAGGGGGGTTTGACCTCTACCTCTCCTCTTTTCCCTCCTCAAGGTAACCCTCACCTACCAAGGTACTGTTCCTACTTTGTCCAGCAGGGGGCAGCAGAGCACCCACTGGCTCTCCCAAACCAACTTTGTTCTGAAAACCAGACCCCCTCCCCGCACACTGCCCCTGCCCCTGTGGCTCATCTGTAGGACTTCCAAAAGGCAGAGGTTACCTGGAGAGGTGTGGTCCCCTCAATTATGCAGGGTGAGGAATCAGGATGGATGGGGGTTTATTTCAGGCTGGCATCTTGAGCCCTCAGCTGGGAGGGATCCCACCATGATCAGGTGCTCCTAGAAGAGTCGTGTTTGCCGCATGAATGCCGAATGCCAGCGCTCACCGTTCTCCCATTCATGGAAGAGCGGTTTATTGACTGCATGCTACCTGAAAAGCATTACGCCAAGGCTTCCAGACTTGGAGGGTAGGTCAGAGCCCGTGGTGACCCGAAACTCCTGATTCTGAGGTCAGACAGGGTTTGTGGGCTTTCCTGTTGCAGTGAAAGTGTAGGCTGGAGCCAAGCCAAGGGAGAGTGGAACAGGGTACAGAGACTGCTGATGGGCAGACTACAAGGGGGCTGAGGCCCAGAGACACCGTTTATCCTCAGGCCTTGCTCCAACTCCCAGTTCCCCTCCTCCTACAGTCCTCCCTTTCAGTGCTGGAAGTTGGCCCTTTATTAGGGGTCCCCAGAACAGCTGAGCTGTGGTTGGAGTGTTTAGAGGAAAATTCACATAGGCCCGGGGTGCCAGAGACAAATAGGCCAGCTGGTCTGGTTCAGAGGATATGGCTTGCCATCTAGATGCTTGGCCCCGCTGGTATGGCAGAGGCCATCCTAAACGCCGACCCCAGCCCCCTCTGAAGACATCTACAACCCCGTGTCCACTCCCAGATGCCCGCAGAAGTAGCCGGTTCTTCCTCCCACGTGCCAGGCCCTACCTTTCAGTGCGAAATAGTCTGTTTCTAGGGGGGCTGCTGCACCCCTACCTGTGTCTCAGGGGAATTTCTCGCTGTCAGCATGTCCAAACAGGCAGACATCAGCCTCCACACTCACATGAAGCCCACACAAAGTGGGGGGCTTGTTCCATTCCAGGTGATGAGAGGACCCTGGAATTTAACATTTATTTATTTATTTGGCAGAGAGAGTACACGCGTGCACAAGCAGGGGGATGCGGGGCTAGATCCCAGAACCCTGGGATCACAGCCCAAGCCAAAAGCAGATGCTTACCCTACTGAGCCACCCCAAGGCACCCCAAGAGGACCCCTGAATTTATTTTTTAAAAAGATTTTATTTATTTGTTTATTTGACAGAGAGAGAGAGAGAGAGAGCACAAGCAGGGGAAGTGGCAGAGGGAGAAGAAACATGCTCCCCACTGAGCAGGAAGCCCAATGCAGGGAGCCCGATGTGGGGCAGGGCTGGATCCCAGGACCCAGCGACCATGACCCAAACAGAGCCAAAAGCAGCTGCCCAACCGACTGAGCCACCCAGGCACCCAGGACCCCTGAATTTAACAGGATCTCCAGGTAAGGGCACTGTGAGTCTCCAGCAACCCCTCAGAGGCATGGCACTGTTGGGCTGGGAAGGGGGTACCCAGGATGTCCCCTTCATTGTTTCTAACCATCCCCATAGAAGGGAGCAACCTAACCCCCTGGGGATGTTCAGTGGCTCAGCTGAAGCCTGGGAACAAAGGTGTTTTCACAATACGAACCATCAGGCTACCTAGAAATGATTCTTATGCTAGAAAGTAGCCTTTTCTTCTTCCTTCCTTTCTTCTTTCTTTTCTTTTCTCTCTCTCTCTCTTTCTTTCTTCCTTTTCTTTCTTTTCTTCCATCTCTTTCTCTTTTCTTCCTCTTTCTCTTTCTTTCTCCTTCTTTCACTTTCTTTCTCTTCCTCTTTCTGTAGGCTCCAACCAAGCATGGAGCCCAACACTGGGGCTCAAACTCACAACCCTGAGATCAAGACCTATGCTGAGATCAAGATTCAGATACTTAACTGACTAAGCCACCCAGGCACGCCATGAATTACTATTTCTGCTAAAGCCCCAGGAGCTCTCCAGCTTGCTCATCCCTGCCACTGGGGTTCTGTGCAGGTAAGAACAGAGGCTGCAGAACTCTGGATATAGGTGTGGAGATACTGCCTAATGCACTGGGCACAGGGGTGTGCTGGTACCTGACTTGACAGACTCAAGATGAGTCTGGGTCAGCTAGAGAAAGCAGCGAGAGCTACGGCAGCTCCCGGGGGTTCTCTGGACCTCCTCCTTTCTGCTGTTACCCCTTCCCATCCCTTTTGCCTCCAGCTGCGAAGAAAGCCAGGGAGGTAGACGTGTAAGAGCTGGGAGGGGATTGAGTCCCATGGGAAGTGGTCATCTGGGGACCTTGGTTGAAAAGGATAACGTTCTAGCTTCAACCTCTGGAACACCACTCTCACCCGGGCACCAAGGCCCAGTCCAGCATGGGAAGAAAAGCTTTCAGGTAAACTCCGCCAGCAACCCTGCTGGCCACTTCCCAGTTTTGCCCCTGTAGGCCCTGTGTAAACTGTCTCCATTAAGCCCTAGATAAGGGTCCTCCTCCCCATCTCTGGCCAAAGCCAGATTTTGTGTTAGGATCTGGCACAGAAGCAAGTTTTCCTCCCTATCTCAGCCCTTACCCATAGCAAGACTCCCATCCTATACATTTAATTCTCAGCCGAATATCGAAATAAACCATCCCCATTTTATAGATCAGGAAACAGGCTTATAGTTTAAGTGACTTAGTTTTGATCACTCACCTAAGAAGCCACCGGCCTGCTTTCCTTTCTTCCTTGCATGGTTCAGGGCATATTTTAGAGCTGGAGAGGAATGGTGTGTGTGCACACTCATGTGCATGTGGTAGCGGTGTGCACACACCCATGCATGCACGTGCTGGGGCGCAGGGCGGGGGGAGTCAAACATGCTTCCCTACGGTGTCTCCCCACACACACACACGTCTTGGCGGCAGAAACCATTCTTCCACCTGCAGAGCTCCCCAGAGGTGCCCGGACCAAAGCAAGCAGCCACTCCACCCGCGTTCCACTCGGCCCCCACGAGGCTGTGGGATCAGTCGGGCACCAGAGCTGTGCTGAGTGTCCTTATGCTCTTGGACACGTTTCTAAATAATCTATGAATCAAAGAAGTCGCAAGGGAAAACTAGAAAATGTTTCAAATTGAATGATAATGAAATACACTATATTAAAACTAATGGGATGCGGCTAAAGTAATGCATATATGTAAGTGCCTATGTTAGGAAAGAAGAAGGGCTGAAAATGAATTATGCAAACTTATGTAAGTGGTGGAACGGTGCTGGAGTAAGTAAGTGACTGTTTTACCTGTACGTTGAAGCCTTCACAAGAATTAATTTGAAATGGAGCATCAGCAGAACTGTGAAGGCAAAACAGTGAAACTTCTAGAGAAACATGGAATATCTTTATAGCCTTGGACTGGGCAAAGATTTCTTTCTTTTTTTTTTTTTTTTTTTTTAAGATTTTATTTACTTATTTGACAGACAAGTAGGCAGAGAGGCAGGCAGAGACAGAGAGAGGAGGAAGCAGGCTCCCCGTTGAGCAGAGAGCCCGATGCGGGGCTCGATCCCAGGACCCTGGGACCACGACCTGAGCCGAAGGCAGAGGCTTTAACCCACTGAGCCACAAATGCGCCCCAAAGATTTCTATTTTTTAATGATTTTATTTATTTGTCTGACAGCACAAGCAGGGGGAGCAGCAGAGGGAGAGGGAGAAGCAGGCTGCCCTCTGTGGGGCTCGTTCCCAGGACCCTGGGACCTGGGATCGTTGAGCCGAAGGCAGACGCTTAATGACTGAGCCACCCAGGTACCCCTAGGCAAAGATTTCTTAAGCAAAAGACAGAAAGGGGGCCTCTGGCTGGCTCAGTCAGTGAAATGTGCAACTCTTGCTCTCAGGGTCATGAGTTCAAGCCCCGCAGTGGGTGTGGACCCTACTTCAGAAAAAATAAAATAAAATATTTAAAAACAAAACCAAAAAACTTGACTCAGAAAGCTCTAAGCATCAATGGTTGATAACTTAGACTTCATGAAAATTAAGAACTTCTGGTCAATAATTAAAGATATTTAAGAAAATGAAAAGATAAGGTACAAACTAGAAAAAAGATGTTTCAATACAGTTATTTTAAAAAAGACTCCTGCAGAGTATATAAAGAATTCTGTAGTTATTACAGAAAAAGGACTACAACAGTTCCTTCATAAGAGAGGATTTCCAAATGGTCAACAAGCATGTGGAAAGATGCTCCATATCACTAAAGAAGTTTAATTCATATAGAAATGTGAATTAAAACAACAAGGGGTGCCTGGTTGGCTCAGTTGGTAGAACATCCAACTCTTGATCTTGAGGTTGTGAGTTTGAGCCCCCCTTTGGGTGTACAGATTACTTTAAAAATAAATACATAAAAGTAAATAAAGAGGTGCCTTAATTGGATGGCTCAGTTGGTTAAACATCTCCATTTATTTATTTGACAGAGAGACACAGTGAGAGGGAGAACGTAAGCAGGGGGAGGGGAAGAGGGAGAAGCAGGCTTCCCACTGAGCAGGGAGCCTGACGTGGGGCTCGATCCCAGGACCCTGGAATCATGACCTCAGCCAGAGGCAGATGCTTAACAACTGAGCCACCCAGGGGCCCCTAAGCATTTGACTCTTGATTTCGGCTCAGGTCTTGATCTCAGGGTGGTGACATCAAGCCACAGGTTGGACTCCACGCTCAGCACAGAGTCTGCTTGAGATTCTCCTTCTCCCTCTGTCTCTCCCTCCACTCATGTGTGCGCTCGTGCGATCTCTCTCTCTCTCTCTCTCTCTCCCCCTCGCGAGCACGCACGCGCACGTGCAATACATAAATAAAATTCAAAAATAAATAAATAAATTTAAAAAATAAAACCACCACAAGATACTATTATACATAATTACATGGGCTACAATTAAAGAGATTGACAAAACCCAGTGTTGGCGAGGATACGACGTAACTAGAACTGGTAAGAGGTAAACTGGAAAACCTCAGTATTCACTGTAACTGCTTCACCTGACCTATGACCCAGCCAGTCCCCTCTTTGGTACAAACCCAGGAGAACTGAGTGTAATTTCTACCAAAGTGCAAGTATAGAATGTTCTTGGCAACTTTATTCATAATAGCTAAAAACTGGAAACCATCTAAATCTCCCAACACCAGGAAGCTGGATAAACCGTAGTATATGCATACATTGGGAAACCAGGTAGCAAAAACAGAATGAACTTCTGTACACCACAGAGATGAGTCTCCCAGACATAATGTTGGATGAACAGTGCCGGCCACAGGGGCGCCTGGGTGGCTCAGTTGGTTGGGCGTCTGCCTTCGGCTCAGGTCATGATCCCGGGACCCTGGGATCGAGGCCCGCATCAAGCTTCTTGCTCAGTGGGGGATCTGCTTCTCCCTGTCTCTCTGTTGCTCCCCCTGCTTTTGCCCCCACCCCACTCACTCTCCCTGTCAAACAAATAAATAAAATCTCTTTAAAAATACACACAGGGAGGGGCGCCTGGGTGGCTCAGTGGGTTAAGCTGCTGCCTTCGGCTCAGGTCATGATCTCAGGGTCCTGGGATCGAGTCCCGCATCGGGCTCTCTGCTCAGCAGGGAGCCTGCTTCCCTTCCTCTCTCTCTGCCTGCCTCTCTGCCTACTTGTGATCTCTCCCTGTCAAATAAATAAATAAAATCTTAAAAAAAAAAAAATGGGGCGCCTGGTGGCTCAGTGGGTTAAGCCGCTGCCTTCGGCTCAGGTCATGATCTCAGAGTCCTGGGATCGAGCCCCGCATCGGGCTCTCTGCTCGGCAGGGAGCCTGCTTCCTCCTCTCTCTCTGCCTGCCTCTCTGCCTACTTGTAATCTCTCTGTCAAATAAATAAATAAAATCTTAAAAAAAAAAAAAATACACACAGGGATGCCTGGGTGGCCCAGTGGGTTAAGCATCTGCCTTTAGCTTGGGTCATAATCCCAGGGTCCTGGAATGGAGTCCCACATCCGCTCCTTGCTCAATGGGAAGCCTGCTTCTTCTTCTGCCTGCCATTCCCTCTGCGCTGTGCTCTCTCTCTCTGGCAAATAAATAAATAAAATCTTTTTAAAGAACTAAACACACACACACAAATTGTCTTAAACTATAAAAATAATTGATTTTCTCATATAGTTGGAAAATCCAGAAGGCTGGTTTCCTGTGGGGTTGGGTCCCAGGCCTTGTGGTTGTGTAAGGACTTGGTGTGATAGATACAGCTGGTTGCCTTCCTAATACCTATTCCCCTTTCCTCCCAAAAGAAGCCCAGTTTTGTTTGGGGCAGTGCCTAGTTAAACAGACTGACTTCCTCAGTTCCCTTGAGAGTTCCTGGTGTCCCAGGGACACATTGTTACCCATGAGACTTACGGTAAGGACTTCTGGGAAAGTTTTGCTTTCCTGGCACAAGTGTCTCCCTTTGCGTCTTCTTTTCCTTTCCTTTCCGCTTGACCAACTCATGGCCATGGAGGCAACGATTATGAGAATGGATGAAGCTACCGAGGGTGGCAGGCAAGAAAAGACTTCCTGGCTGTGTAAACCAGCTGCACCAACCGTGGTCGGCCTGCCCATCTCCTAATATTTTATCATGTGAGACAAGCAGGAAATAAATATTTATTCAAGCTACTCTTAAGTTTTCTCTTACTTGCACCCAAACACATGCTCAACTGAGAAAATCTTCAATTTCTTTCTCTTTTTTTTTTTTTTTTAAGATTTTATTTATTCATTTGAGAGAGAGAGAGCATGAGCAGGGCAGGGGGTGGGCAGAGGGAGAAGACCTGAGCTGGATCATGACCTGAGCCAAAGGCAGATGCTTAACTGACTAAACCACCCAGATGGCCCATAACTCTTGTCCGTGTCTTTTGTAGTAAATGCTTCCTTCTAAGGTTTGTTTCCCTTGTGGACCCAGATTGACTTCCAGGAGTCTCTGAGGCCTCTTACTTCCTCACTCATATCCTACAGGAGAGAGTCAGCTTTGTCCCACAATTTCCTGGTCCTGGTTCTGGAAATCCTGCTCGCATCCACACCTGAGGGTTATGGCTGAAGCACTCATGGTGGGTTCCTCTGATCTGTGTGAGCCCTGATGATCCTCCTTGGACTTTAGCTGAATCCTTACAAGCCCTGAGCTATCCTCAAGGTCAGCTTGCAACTCCCACAGCAGTTCTGACCTCCAGTGGCCTTGCCTATGGAGTGGAGTGGGTCACATGGGCCAGCACCTTCTGTCAAAGTCAGGGTCAAAAATCTCCCCTCAGGAGCCAAGTCTGGCTTTTGGTTAGGTCATGTGTTGACTTTGGGCAAATTCCCAACTTAGAAAAAAATGACTTTTTTTTTTAAAGATTTTATTTTTATTTATTTATTTGACAGAGAGAGAGAGAGAGAGAGCACAAGCAGGGGGAACAGAGAGGGAGTGAGAAGCAGACTCCCTGCTGAACAGGGAGCCCAATGTGGGACTCGATCCCAGGACCCTGGGATCATGACCTGAGCCGAAGGCAGATGCTTAAGCATCTGAGCCACCCAGGCGCCCCAGAAAAAATGACTTTTGATGTGGAATCTTGTTCTTCCTCAACACACCCTTGAAAGTCACGTGCTTAGGTGTTTTGTTTGTAGGATCGCAGCTGGGCAGTATTCAAGGGGTTGAGAGAGGTTTAAACTGCAGAGGTGTCTGAGTTTTGTTGTAATCTTGTCTGAGGTCACATAGCTTGTAAGTGGTGGAGCCGAGAGGAGTCTGACATTCTAGTGACCCCCAGCCACGATGCTAAGACACTATGGCACTTGGGGGTCAATATTGTTTTTAACACAGATTCACTTTAATCACATTACAAGGGCAATAGAATGTTCTTCAGTTCCACAGAGAAATATGCCTTCTCCCATTTTCCCTGAAGCACAGGGCCCTTAGACCTCTCTTTTATTGTCATCTTTTTTCCAAAGACACAGGTAGAGAAAAAAACAGCATTGGCAAGGTGAAGGAGCAACACTGAAAGTCACACTCGGACTCAGGTTTAGGTAAGTGTGGAGTGCGTGCTCAGTCAGGAAGGGGAAGTCATTTACCCTAGGCACAGATGCGAGCCCAATGTTGCCAGAGCATCAGATTTTCCAAGAAAAGCCAGAAAACTGAAATTTTTTAAAAGATTGTACTTTTAAGTATCCTTGACACCCAACATGGGCCTCAAACTTAAGAACCCTGAGATCAAGAGTTTCATGCTTCACCCACCGAGCCAGAGGGAGAAGCAGGCTCCCCACCAAGCAAAGAGCCCAACGAGGGACGTGATCCCTGGACCCTGAGATCATGACCTGAACCGAAGGCAGACACTTAACCGACTGAGCCACCCAGGTGTGCCCTGAATTTTTTTAATATGCTGTTTCTTTGCTGGGCTCACAAAGCTTTATACAGGTTGTCATGTTCCCACTGCCACTGTAATGGGATAGAACTTCTGCCCTTGTTGTGGTTCTAGCCTGAAGTGCTTTGAGAACAGGGGCAATTTTCTTCTTCCCACAGTCCTGATAGGTTTCCTGAAAAAGGTTGTGTTTAGTGGAGCTCCTAAGGGTGGAAGAAGCTTCCCAAAAGGAGGAGGATTGGAAGTGATTTCCATGCAGCTTTGCATAGTTGTTCACTGCAGGAATGCTAACAGGCCTGCAGTTTCCAGCCTTATGAGCCCTTGACCTCCACCTGACCCACACCCTTAGCTTCCTGGTTCCAGGCTCGGGGTACTCAACCCACTTCCGCTATCCGGTTTCTTCCTGAGAACTAAGGAACAGCTGAAGGAGTACCTGGAGTCCTTCTGAGTCCTCCCAGCCAACCTAGGCTAAGGCTAGCTCCCTGGGGTTGGTAGAGGGAACCCCAGCTCTTGGGGCCTTCCCCTTGACCCTTAAAAGTGGGACAGCAAAGAGAAGAGAGAAGGGCCTGAGTACTCCCTAGGGGTGAGAGAATCCTCCCCAGGCTCTCTCTACTTTTCAGAAAGGGTCAGCCAAGCAGAGTGGCTGTCTGGGTGCCACACTTGAGTGGATGGGGCATGGGAGACAGCACCTTCTGTCTTCTCAATTGTGTTATTGTCCAATTTCAACATCACAAATAGGGTAGCAACCCCATATTTTGGACCTCCTGATGTGACGCAGTGATCATTAATGTCGTATTCTTGCCAAAAATGTTTGTGGTGAATCTAACCTTGAGGAAACAATCTGATAAATCCAGAATTTGATGCTATAAAACCAGCCTGAACTCTTAAAAAAAAAAATAAGAAGGCTGAGTGTGGGGTAGATAATATTCTTCTATATTAATAGAGACCAAAAAGACCTAACAACCAAAGGCAGTATGTGAACCTTGCCTTCTGAACTAAAATAAACATGCTAAAAAGACATCCTTGAGGAGTGCCTGGGTGGCTCAGTTGGTTAAGTGTCTGACTCCTGGTTTCAGCTCAGGTCATGATCTCAGGGTCATGGGATAGAGCCCCGCTTCAGGCTCCTTGCTGGGCACCGACGCTGTCTCTCTCCCTCTGCTCTTCCCCTCACTCTCTCTGTCTCCCTCTCCATCTACCTCTAAGGTAAATTAAAAAAAAAAAAAAAAGGCATTCTTGGGGTGCCTGGTGGTTCAGTCGGTTAAGCATCTGCCCTCAGCTCGGGTCATTATCCCAGAGTCTTGGGATCGAGCCCCATGTTGGCCTCCCAGCTCAGCGGGGGAATCTGCTTCTCCCTTACCCTCTGCCTCTCCCCCTGCTCGTGCTCTGTCTTTCTCTCAAATAAATAAATAAAATCTTTAAAAAAAAAAAAAAAGGCATCCTTCAGACCAGTGGGAATGACAGCACTCAATTACTGTTGATATGCTCAGATGTGATAATGGCAATGTAATTGTGTGGAGGAGCCCTGACATTTAGGGCCAGTTAATACTCTGGAGAGATCAGTAGCACTTCTGGTCCCTGCTCACTAGGTGACCGGAGCACAGCACCCTGTCCCTTGCAACGAGCCAAAATGTCTGAGAAACTGTTTTGGATTTTGGTAGTATTGACAGTTGCATCACGTCATGAATATGTGAAAACACACTGGACTGTCCGTTTGAAAATGGTTAAAATGGTGAATTTTATGTGATGTGAATTTTTTTTCAATAAAGACTAATTAAAAATGCCTCCATTTGGCATTGTCACATTATCCCCTGAGGGACAAAAATTGCCCCCCCTGCTGAGAACCATTGGTGTGGAGAGCACATCGCTTGGGGTGTGTGGGGGTTGCGGAATGCAGGCTGAAGGTTTTAAGAGGGAAATGTCTTTTTTGTAACTTTCAAAGAGCAAATGTGTCAAAATGTTAACCATTGGTGAAACTTGGTGACAGGTGTCTGGGTTGTTCATTTTACTATTCTGTCGACTTTCTATAAATTTAAAATTGTTCAAAACCGAAAGAATATACAGTTTCAAAATTTCTGTTTACAACATCCCCAGGGGCCCAGCTAGGTGCCAACTGTGCGGCCTCCTTTCAGACGGACTGAGAACTGTCTCCATGGGTTGAGTGGCTCAGTCCTCATTCCTTTAAGGGAAGACTCCTTCCGTATCTCTCCTCCCCCTTCCTCTCTGTCTCTATATCTTGTCTCTCTCTTCTCTCCTGCCCTATCCCACTCCAAGGCTGCCTTGAACATGCTGGCCCTGTGGCACCCACCGACCTGTGGAGAGAAAAGCATCCCATCCGATGGACCACCACCCACCCAGACAGAGTGCAGATGGGCTCTGTTGAGCCTTTTGTGGTGAGTATTCTCCCCTGTGGTGACTTTAAAACATGATCACAAAACTCTAGCACTAGTTCCATGCAGAGGCAGGGTCTCTGTCCCGTCTCCTTAAATAGGAACTGTAGCTGCTTAAGCAATAGGGTAGAATGGAAATGATATGGTACTAGTCTCCAGGCCCAGACCTTAAAAGCCTAGCATCTGCTGTTTCCTGTCTCTTCTGAGATACCTGCTCTTGGAACCGAGCCACCACACTGTGAGGAAGTCCAAGCCACCCTGTGGAGAGGCGGGTATGGAGAGAAGCAGCATCCAGTGACTCGAAGCCGGTGAGTGAGTCATCTTGGAAGAGCCACGTGGGGCAGAGGTGAGCTGTCCCTGATTGCTGCCGTCTTAAGTCACTAATTTTTGGAGTAGTTTGTTTGAAGAGATAGATAATGGAGGCATCCCCTGTCCCCCCACCAAACTGGGAGCCACCGGCTTAGGAGGCGGGAAACGGGCCAGCTCTTTGTCCCTGGAGCTGGAACCTAGGTCAGCATCGTTCCTTCAACAAGTATTTGTTGCGTGACCACCAAGTGCTAGACACTGTTCCAAGGGCCGAGGAGTTACTACTGAATGAGACGGACCCCAAGAAAGGGTGGTGGGGAGAATCGTCTTCCTGTGGGAGGTTATTTCTAAGCTGAGACCCGTCTAAGGAAGAGGAGTTAGCCACGCACAGAAGCAGAGAAAGGCCAGATGCACCACCGTGTGCTAGTTCTGGATGAGGTTAACAGATTTGGCAAATAAAAAAAAAAAAATTGGGGGCGCCTGGGTGGCTCAGTGGGTTAAAGCCTCTGCCTTCGGCTCAGGTCATGATCCCAGGGTCCTGGGATCGAGCCCCGCATCGGGCTCTCTGCTCAGCAGGGAGCCTGCTTCCTCCTCTCTCTCTGCCTGCCTCTCTGCCTACTTGTGATCTCTGTCTGTCTGTCAGATAAATAAATAAAATATTTAAAAAAAAAAAAAATTTGACACCCAGTTAAACTTGAATTTTAGATGAGTAATGAATATTTTTTGTGTGTGTATACATATGCCCCATGCAGCTTTGGAGACATGCTCATATTAATAAGTCATTCATGAGACACCTGGGTGGCTCAGTCAGTTAAGCGTCTGCCTTCGGCTCCGGTCATGATCCTGGGGTCCTGGGATCGAGCCCCACATCAGGCTCCCTGCTCAGCGGGCAGCCTGCTTCTCCCTCTTCCTGCTGCTCCCCTGCTTGAGCTGCTCCCTCTCTCTCTGGCAAATAAAATCTTTTCTAAAAAAGTTATTCATTACTTATCTGAAATTCAAGTTAACTGGGAGTCCTGCATTTTATCTGACCCCTAGTTTTAAGGCAGAAAAGAGAGAAAAACTCATGTTTCAAGAGACAATTCGGAAAGCTGGTGGTAGGACAGTGGCAAACAGGGTGTGACATCAGAAGTAAAGGTCACAAAAGGCCAGCTGGCCAGGTCCATTTTGAATTTTGTCCTGAAGCAATGAGGGGCCACAAGAGGGTTCAGACCCAGGGAGTGACACAATTAGATGTGTGTGTTGCAACAGTATTCTGGGCTACTGTCTGGAAGGGATGGGAGAGTCTGTAGGCAGGGAGATCAGGAGGGGGAGGCCTTTACCCTGCAAGGTTCATACTCTGGTAACCACAAAGGCTTGAGAAGGTCGAACTAACCCCCCACTTCACACTTTTCTTTTCTATAACGTAAGTGTTTTAAACTCTAAGTTTCCCTTTAACTACTGCTTCAGTGTATCCCACAAGCTTTTGATATATTTAGTTTTATCATTCCATTCAGGATGTTTTCTAACTTCTCAATTCTTTAGCTGTGTGTTGTATAATTTCCAAATATCTGAGATTTTTCTGTGTATCTCTTTGCTATTTCTTTTAATTGCCTTCTGTGATAGTCAGAGAACATACTCTGTACATTCTTTAAATTTTATTACTATCGTTTGGTGAGCAGGCACATAGTCTCTCGTCGTGAAGGTGCCACACCTGCTAGAAAAGAATGTGGGGTGCCCCTGCTGTTGGATTACGTGTTCTTTTTTTTTTTTTTTTTTAAAGATTTTATTTATTTATTTGACAGACAGAGATCACAAGTAGGCAGAGAGGCAGGCAGAGAGAGAGGAAGGGAAGCAGGCTCCCTGCTGAGCAGAGAGCCCGATGCGGGACTCGATCCCAGGACCCTGGGATCATGACCTGAGCTGAAGGCAGCGGCTTAACCCACTGAGCCAGCCAGGCGCCCTGGATTACGTGTTCTGTCAATGTCAGCCACGGGCAGGGTCATCGACAGCGTTCTTCTTGCATTTTCTTCTATGCATTTTCTCATTACGTAGTCTGGCTATTCTCTCCATTGATGGAAGTGGGGTGGGAAAATATTGGGCAATTATTATAGATGAGTCAAGTTTTTCCCTTTCCTGTCAGTTTTTTCCTCAACTCTTTTGAAGGTCTCTTGCTAGATCTGCATACATCTATGATTATGATTATGACTTCCCAGGGCACGGTCCTTTTATCCAGATGGATTTCCCTCCTTAGCTTGGGTCACAGCCATTCACTGGAAGTTCAGTTTTCTGTGATTGCTCTGGCGTGTGCAGCTTTCCAGCCCTCACTGGTAGCTTGCTATATCTTTATCCAGCCGTTTGATCTCTTATTTATCCCAGACCAAGCCTGGCCAGGCCCAAATAGTACAAGTCGTCTGTATCAACGGGCTCAAGCCTCAGCGTCCCCTAATGCTGTCATTCTGATGGCGGTCACTCAGCTCCCACCCGTGCATTACGTGCAGTCCCCAGCAAGTGGCTAACGGGGAGGGACAAAGCTCAGTCTCTGCTGAAGGATGCTTTGTGTTGGTGTGAAAGAGACACACTGAAATTGAACTGCTCTCACACTACAGTCCCAGCCTTGGGGGGACGTCTTCCCACTGGACAGAAGTTTGAGCAGTGCGCGTGGTCATTCGGAGATGAGAGCAGGGGGCTCTGCTTCACAGGCCTAAGAGCTGTGTCCTCACATGGAGCCCTGTGCTCAACGGGGCCCAACATGTGTGTCTTGCTGTCATCGTTTTTTGGGGGTTTTTTTGGGTTTTTTTAAAGATTTTTCTTCTTGGGGCGCCTGGGTGGCTCAGTGGGCTAAGCCTCTGCTCTTTGGCTCAGGTCATGATCTCAGGGTCCTGGGATCGAGCCCCGCATTGGGCTCTCTGCTCAGCAGGGAGCCTGCTTCCCTCTCTCTCTCTGCCTGCTGCTCTGCCTAGTTGTGATCTCTCTCCCTCTGTCAAATAAATAAAATCTTTTAAAAATTTTAAAAATAAATAAAAAGATTTTTCTTCTTTATTTATTTGACAGACAGAGACCACAAGTAGGCAGAGAGGCAGGCAGAGAGAGAGGAGGAAGCAGGCTCCCTGCTGAGCAGAGAGCCCGATGTGGGGCTCGATCCCAGGACCCTGAGATCATGACCCGAGTTGAAGGCAGAGGCTTTAACCCACTGAACCACCCAGGTGCCCCGCTGTCATAGTTTTGAACAAGATGCATTTTTATTTTACCCTGAAACCCACTGAATAGGTCCTGAGCAAAAGGTTCCAAGGCCGTTACAGAACAGAGAACCCACAGAACATCAGACTGCCTTGACTTGGGTATGCTGTGCTACCTGTGTGTGTGTGTGTGTGCGTGTGTGACACGTGTGCATGTGTGTGATACATGCTAAGTATTCAAAACTGATGGCTGTTGTTCCCATGTGTTATTGATGCTGGTGGTGGTGTTACTGGGCTCCTCCAGAATTGTTCTTCAAACTTCAGGGAAGTCTGGTTAATTCACTACCTACAAGCCATCCTTCTGCTTTGTTTCACGGACTCATCTGCAAAGTGTTTTTTAATTTAAGCAAGCGGCTTTGACAACCCTCAGGTTGTCACACACAAATACACACCTTACCTTTCAAACACCCGCTGCTGTTGCACGCCTATATCCAGATGCTACCCCCATTCATCCAGTTGCATCAACAGTCCCTAAAATCCCACCTCCCCAAGCCCAGGTGCCCCAGATTCTCTCAGAGTTGACACGGACATGCACGCTCACACCCTCAGCTCATCTGACCGCGTGGGTGCCATCGGCACGGTTCCCCTCCTGCTCCGTGTGCAAAACCTCCTGCCGGGGACAGCCGATGTGAAGGCTGCTTTCGTGTGGGCAGCAGCCTCTATAATTTGCATTTGAGATTTTTTAAAAGTATTGCAAATCAGAAAGTATGTGCATGTGTGATTTCTGGGGACCAGGAAGGGTGAGAAGGCTTGGCATCTCGAAAGCACGTTAGCTGTATTCTAGATTTCCAGGGAAAGCCAGAGGTTGTCATTATGCGGAAGCTTAGCAAGGAAACAGAGGTGATTTGGGGGGTGTGGGAAGCTCTGCAAACACTCTGATGTGAGCCCCTGAAATTCAGGGCCCTGATTTAATAAGGGCTGCCAGTGTCAGGGGGAAAAAATAGCAATTCTGCTGCCTCACGTGGTACAACAAATCTGGCCTTCTAGATAGGAAAAGCCAGGACTGAGAGGGGGTGGGGTGAAAGACGGTGTCACCAGCTCCTCTCACGTTTCCTGCAAGAAATCCCTGTGGAGAAGAGACTTCTGGCTCAGTGAGTCACTGGCTGTATAAGCCAAGAGAGGTGGAAAGCAGATTCCAGGAAATAAGCAAGAGGGATCCTGGGGAAGTTTTCAGCTTTAGTGTGAAACTGTCAAGCCTCTCTGCTCCTGGGGGAACTGGAGGGAAAAACAAGAGCGAGAGTGATGACAGAAACAGCAAGGAACCAGACAGAGCTCGGGTGTGAGAGCCTGTGCCTCTGGGCACTTGGAATAACCACAGATGAGCAAATGATGCGGGTGGCTTCAGAGAGGGAGAAGACACCCCAGTGTTCCGGGGCCTGCGGTCTTTCCTAACGCAACAGATATTGACAGAGCATCCATCCAGTTCCTGTGCTGGGCGCTGGGCGCTGGGCATGGACAAGTGAGCACTTTCGGCCCCTTAGCAAGTAATCGCACGCACTTACGCCAAGTCACAACTAAGAAGCCTCAGGGGCCCGAGGCCACTGTGGAGATCCTAAAAGGCTGCTGCTGCTGCTGCTTTTTTTTTTTTTTTAAGATTTTATTTATTTATTTGACAGAGAGACAGCAAGCACAAGTAGGCAGAGCGGCAGGCAGAAGGAAAGGGAAAAGCAAGCTCTCCACCAAGCAGGGAGCCCGAGGGGAGGCTCAATCCCAGGATTCCTGGGATCATGACCTGAGCCAAAGGCAGACGCTTAACCGACTGAGCCACCAGGCGCCCCTCCTAGAAGGGTTCTTGACACCTCGGGTAGGATTGTCCAGACACCAAAAAGGACAGGCTGAATTGCCATGGGGGGCCTGGGATAGAGAGAGCAGGGCTGTTTGGAAGAAGTGAAAGATTGGTTTTGGGAGCAGAGCCACAAGAAAAGACTGGACAGATCCCTTCTCTTTGTCCATTTTGGGTAATCTGTTTGATTACAAAGTTTGGGGGTGGGGGGCTTGCATCTCCTAAGAGCCAGGCAACCTATTTGGCACTTTCTGTTTATTTACAGGGTAATTCAATTCACCAGTGTTTACTGAGCTCCCTGACCAAATAGCTGGGCCTAGGCATGGAGTAGGCAGAGGGCACAGCAAAGGCAGAGGCCCAGAGCTGGGAACCCCCCCCCCCACCCCCACAGAGCATCTCAGGGAAAAGTCAGTCCCTTGGGTCTGGGGTACGGTAAGGTAGCTGAGGTCCAC